AGTTTATATTTCCCTCCTCTTTAAGCTCTGACACACATTGCTACAATTTCATTTCTTACTCCTGACACAGATCATTACAGCTCTGGAATTCGTGCTGTTGTGTTAAATACCCATAATGTGACAAAAACCCTACATTGTAAATTCTAAAGAAAGGACTGTACCTTGATCCAGCTGACATAGGAGCTGATACGTAAGCGGGAAGACCAGCGCAAAGTGTGCAGGATATCACATTCACTCATCTCCGGTGTGTTCATGGCCAGCTGATTCAAGTAGTTTTTGGATGGAGGCAAAATCCCCAATATCCGCCACAGTATCAAGAAATAGTATTGAAGCGCACAGGCCTCCTAAACAAAGACAGTGGAGGATACAGCAGGAAGCAAACATTTACAATCAACCTGCTTCAGCTGTGATCCTATGAAGGGCTCCTAAATGTGTCTGCATGTGGAGGTAGTGTCCCAGAGATAAGAGCGAGTGGACCATACTTCCATTTCATGCTGGTTTTGTGGCACAACTTTTCTTATCTCACCTAATTCCCTGTCAAGGGGCATAAAATTCTCATCTAATCTAATCACATTCAACCCAGACCTTATGAATGCATTTGGGAGGTATGGTGATCCAGAAGTTCATTATACATTTTAAAAGAAACTTAGCATTAACCACTAAACAAAACCAGGAAAGGGCCAACTTTGAGAACCATCTCATAGCCAGCAGCTTGACTTTCTCAAACCTAGGACATTTTGCACAATTTATATTTTTCAGCTGAAGTGAAAACTGAAATATTAATCTAAAACGTTACATTTCAAGTGTCACCAACTAGCTTACTGCTTTACCAACACAAACAAAAACCACTCAAGTTCTTCCCCATTCTACTATAGCCACAATAAATCCAACTAATGCACTTCAGGCCAAAAGACGAAAGATCCAAATTATTCCTTTAGGCAGCTGGAAAACCTTGAAGCAGACCCTGAATTATAAGCTAGACACAGGAGTGTATCTGGTTATTGACTGTCACAGGATGGGATGGCCCTTAAAGGGAGGTGGGCTTAACCCTACCTATAACTAATTAGCTGCCATCCAGGTGAGGTTGGGGATCAGACGATTGATAGCCTGCAGGTCACCTGGTCTTCAGATAAAAGGCCAGCAAGCAGCTCAGTTAAGGGAGAGAGACCTGCAGGGAATAGGAAGTCCACTGCAGGAGACCCAGAATCAGGAGAAAGGATCTGGAAGGGGAATCTTCACACCCATGAGGCAAGGGATCTGCCGCATGGGGAGGCGCAGAAGCTTTACGAGGAACAGACTGTAAGACAGGCCAGGCAACAGGACCTAATTAATCTGTTTTGGTTTGAATAAACTCCTCCCTGAAGGAAGGGACTGAATTTCTGCCATCACTGGGAGCACGTTACTTGATGCACTGGCTGGTGAGGAGTTGGCCCAGAAGCTTACATTGATAAAATATAAGACAACTGTTTACCAGGAAATGTAAAGCTCCAAAATCCAATTTAGTAACTATTGCCCGGATTCTCTGTATAAAATGCCGCGGCACGGAGCCACTCTCTTTTCTCAGCAGGGAGAATGTTATCGCAACACATACATATGGCCTTACCAGTGCAGTGACGTTTTTGTTTTCCTTCCTCCTGAGGGTATCAAACTGGGATCCAGCTGCAAGTAGTGAGGTCAGGGCTGCATAAAGCTCATCATACTTCATTGTCCTAGAGAACAGGACCTCACAAACCTATTGAAAAAGCCAAGTCAGAATTGTTTCCTCCTTGGTTGCACAGCTTCCCATCCACAGCCAGTTCAGATCCTCTCCCTAATACTGTAAAAATATCACACACACTCCCAGCAAAATAACCCCGGAGAAGGTGTGTCAATCTGCTTTTCCCAGTCAGAGTCTTAAAGATGCTTTAAATGTGCGCAAGAAAGTAACACATTTTGGATGTACAAACAGAAACTTTGGTGTACATGGTAAACTGCCCCATCCAACAATATGTTATCTTCTCTTTAGAGCTGCAGAAATAAGAGCTCTAGTGAGCAAAGACAGCAGGTGTAAAAAAGCCAGAAAGAACATGGGGCAAACTGATGCGGAGACAACTCCGCAGCCAGACACATTTCTATAAGCAGCACTAAGAGGTAACTTGAATACGATGGAGCGCTTGGTATTGGCACATCTGACAGAATCAAGCTACTACAGAGACAGAAAAGTTCTCAGCTCTTTTCAGTCACAATTTACTTCTATGCAACACAGGTGGACTTTACATATTCC